ATGGGATTTAATAGAATTTCAATCAATGGTAGCAGTGATTAACACCAACCCTGCTGGGATGTGTGCAAATTAGCAAACAAGAAAGAAGAAAGTATTCGTGGTGCCTTAACAGATGAGCCTGTCATAATGACATTTTATATTTGTTCTTCATTTTAACTATCAACAAGCTATATGTGCTCATCAGATAAAAACAGCAGACATTTATCGAGCACTCCATGCAAGGCAGTTACTATGTTATGCATTTAACATGCATCATCTTAATCTTTGCTATTTGGGGGTAAATGCTGTGTTGATGGTCAAATCAGAGAGCCAGAAGCTGAGGGTCAGGGTGGGAAATAATGTGCTCCAGGCCCCATAGCAATTAAGTGACCACATCAGGTTTTTTTTGCTCGTTTCTTTGTTTTGAGACAGGGTCTCACTCATGCTGGTAGCTGGGACTCCAGGGACGTGCCATCACACCCAGCTAATTTTTGTATTTTTTTTGTAGAGATGGGGTTTCACCATGTTGCCTAGGCTGGTCTCAAACTCCTGGGCTCAAGTAATCCCCCTACCTCAGCCTCCCAGTGTTGGGATTACAGGCATGGGCCACCTGCCTGGGTCTTTTTTTTTTTCCTTAAGAGACAGGGTCTTGCTCTGTTGCCCAGACTGGAGTGCAGTGGCGTGATCATAACTCACTGGAGCCTCGAACTGGGCTCAAGGAATCCTTCCTCCTCAGTCTCCCAAGTAGCTGGGACTACATGCATGTGCCAATGTGCCCAGCTAATTAAAAAAAATTCTTTTTTTAGAGACAGGGTCTCGCTGTATTGCCCAGGTTGGTCTCAAACTCCTGGACTCAGGTGATCCTTCCACCTCAGCCTCCTGGGTAGCTGGGATTCCAAGTACAAGCCACCTTGCCCAGCCACATCAGATTCTTAATGACTTCACCAGGCCCACCTGTCATCAGTTGTACCCCCAGAGGCAGAGGGGCCTGCATGAGTCATTCCTGGTGCACACTATCAGGGCATCTGCTGGCCTCATTCCTTATCCCAAAATGTTGACTGAGCACCTGCCACTTGTCAGGCATTATGTTGGTAAGTTTTTTTACTATAATGAGAAAAGACTCATTTTGCTGCCTTTAGTAATGGACACAGTAGTAGTGAATGTAAGGACTCTCAAAAAAAAAAAAAAAAAAAAAAAAGGGCTATGTGTGGTGGCTCACGCCTGTACCACCACCACTTTGGGAAGCCAATTTGGGAGGATCACTTGAGACTGGGATTTCGAGAGCAGCCTGGGAAACATTGCAAAATCCTATCTCTACAAAAACAAAAACAAAAACAAAAACTAGCCTGGCCTGATGGCACACACCTATAGCTACTCAGGAGGGTGAGGCAGGAGGATTGCTTGAGCCCAAGAAGTTGAAGCTGTAGTGAGTCCAGATTGCGCCACTGCACTCCAGACTGGGCGACAGAGTAAAACCCTGTCTTAAAATAAAAAAATGATTAAAAACAGGCTGGGCATGGTGGCTTATGCCTGTAATCCCAACACTGCGGGAGGCTGAGGCGGGAGGATCACTTGAAGTCAGAAGTTTGAGACCAGCCTGGCCAATATGGTGAAACCCCATCTCTACTAAAATTACAAAAAATTAGCTGGGTGTGGGGGTGCACGCCTATAATCCCAGCCACTTGGGAGGCTGAGGCAGAAGAATCATTTGAACCCAGGAGGCGGAGGTTGCAGTGAGCCGAGATCGCGCCACTGCACTCCAGCCTAGGTGACAGAGCAAGACTCTGTCTCAAAAAATAAACAAAACATTTTTTTAAAAAAGGAAGAGGAATCTTGGTCACATGGCCACACCTTATAAAAATTCAGAAAAAACTGACCCCCAGGCCTGATGGCAAGTCAGAATACTGCTGACAGTCATGCCTGGAGGAGCACGAACGTGGTTTGGCAACTGAAATTTCATTCTCCACCTGTGAGTTCTAGAAACTTGCAACAGGAGCTCACTTGCAACAGGAGCTCGATGTTCTGTGCTCCTAGGCTGCTGTTAAGACTTAATTACTCTGTCTCTTCCTGTTTCTGCAACCAATTACTCAGTCTCTTGACATGCAAAACTCTCCCAGCAGAAACACTGCAGGGCTCGGTGATCACTGCTATGGGTCCTGGACCAAGGTGATGGGTTAGGCCTATCAAGGCTGTCCTTGGGTGACTGGGCTTCCCTAGACCGCTGAGCTGTGGTTGGAGGTGTGGGGGATGGGGAGCTGACAGGTGCAGAGCCTGGACTCTAGACACACCCTTCCAGGTGCTGACCAGTTAATCCTGGCTTGATTCAGCTGCCAGCCTCACAACATGGTGAAACGTCCATAATCAGAAGCAGCATTGCAGTGGCCTCAGATGCCTGTTGTCTCCCCACTTCACCGAGCCTGGTATCCAAAGGAAAAGTTTCCTATTGTCCATGGTCCATGTGGTGATGGCGGCTTGCACAGGCTGCAGTGAACACCCAGCCGCGAGAGCTCCTCACTTTAGTCAAATCGCACCTCCCTGGGGAGGCCTTCCCGTCTAGTCAATTTAAAATGCCACTCCCTCTGCTGGTCTCCAAACTTCCTATCTTGTTTCCCTGCTTTGTAACTTTTTTCCTTAACATTTCTCAAACATTCTACCCATTTTAGTACTTTATGATATGCCCTTGTCCTCCAAAATGTAAGTACAAAGCAGGGATTTGCTCTTTTGCCTGTTTTGTTTACCAGTTCCTAGAATTGTGCCTGCACAGAACTGATATTTCACATGAATGGAAGGAGGGGCGGGGAATCCAGTCTGGGTGGAGGTTCCGCCGGCAAAGACTTCCTGAAGAAAGTGACACAAGCTGAATCAGCTAAGCTTGAAGTGAATGATGCATTCCAAGGCACATAGGCCGGGAAAAGAACATGTGCAGGGACCTTAAGCAGAAGGGTGGCTGAGGCCTAGGGTGCTTGTGTGAGAAAAGGGTGGACAGGCAGGCCACAGGCAGAGTGAGGAGGGCCTCGCTGTCTCCTCTGGAGAATGGGAAGTCTAGGCTAGAGGCCAAGGGTAGGGTCGGGCGAGGGTGGCAGAGGGCAGGAGAAGAAAGACCTAAGAGGCTGGGCCAGCAATGAGGACCACATACAATTGGAAAGGAAGTTCCAGTGATTGAGAGGAGCTGTCCTTTACTGAGCACTTCCTGTGTGCCAAGTGCTATGCTAAGAGCTTCTAACATATTAGTTCACTGACCTTCACATCCAGCCTGCAACCACTAGGATGCATGAAAATAGGGTGATAAATGAGGGAACCCTCCACAAATCAACCAGTCTGGGTTAGTAAGGAAATTTTTATGCTGGGGGCCAGGTCATGGTAAGTGATCTATCTCTATAGCTGACACTCTTCCCCCACTGCGTGGCAGTCTCGCCTCTTCCCGTGTTTTTCACTACTCCATCACTGTTGCCTCCTATAGAACAAACTAAACAGGGTGTAAGGGACCCCCGGGTTGCAGGATTGAGATAGTGGGTCAAGAAGACCATAAAAGAGAGAAAGACAATGAGAGATTAAAGGAGAAGGGAGTGGGGTGTAGACACGGGTCCTATTAGCGGACAGGAACCTGCTTAGCAACGAGAGGGGTCAGTTTGCTAACGAAAGACAGGTCTACCAATTCAAGACACCAACCAGTGTAAAACTTCACTAAAAATAGTGGACTCAGAAAAGGGGAGAACTTTGACCCCCTTTCTTTGGTGGGGGAAATGTGGTCATTTCTCACTAAAGGACAAGGGACACAGTTGGGTAAAACTGACCAGAGAGGGGTTGCAGCAGGTGGGGGGATCTTCAAGAGAGCAAATCAGAGGTGTCAGGTGGTTCTCGGGTAGGAATAAGGAGGGGGACAATGCAGAAATAAGGCCCTCGCCAGAAATGGCTGGCAGAGCGGACTCTTCAGTCCCAAGAATGTCTCCTGCTGGCAGAGGTCATCAGAGATGCCTGAAAGCCTGGTTTCCCTCAATCCTAGTCACAGTGATTTCTTTTTTTTTTTTTTTTTTTTGAGACAGAGTCTCACTCTGTTGCCTAGGCTAGAGTGCAGTGGCATAATCTCAGCTCCCTGCAACCTCCACCTCCCAGGTTCAAGTGATTCTCCTGCATCAGCCTTCTGAGTAGCTAGGAATATAGGTGCCTGCCACCATGCCTAATTTTTGTATTTTTAGTAGAGATGGGGTTTCACCATATCGGTCAGGCTGGTCTTGAACTCCTGACCTCAAGTGATTTGCCCGCCTTACCCTCCCAAAGTGCTGGTATTACAGGCGTGTGCCACCACGCCCGGCTTAGTCACAGTGATTTCTATTTCAACTAAAGGAATGGGACCAACTGACCCCCCACTTTCTCCCATGGCCTTTGGGAGTATTCTTGTGTGTGAAATTTACCTAAAAAAAGAGGACAGGGTAATATGTGCGGTGGTGACACACATACACACTGAGCACATCACTGCGATCGCTGCTACCAAAGAGAACTCCCAAAGACCAAATCTATCTCATGGTAACAGAAGCCCCAGTGGCTGGCACTGCCTACCACACCCATAGAGCTCTCCAAGGGCAGCTGTTCCTCATACACTCCACTCTCTCCTCTGCTCAAAACCAACTCCTACATTCACCTGCAATCCACCACCTGAGCTCAGGGCACTCTTACATTCCTCAAGGACTCCCGCCCCTGTCTCCATCCCTAAGTCATCCCGCCTTCTCTCCCAAAGCTCTGGCTCAAATGTTTCCCCCGCCAACTTAATCCTAACAGTTCCCCGTCTCTCCTAAGCCTGAACCCCTGCAACCCCTAGATGCACTTGGGATTACTGTTCAACCCCAGTCCAAATCCCACGTTCCATCTCACATTCCCTAGGTCAAGCCTTGGGTGTGTGTCAAGGGGAAAGTCTTAACGAATGAGAACCAGAAAACCTGCCCTTGTGACGCAGTCTCTATACCCAGTCTTGCTGGCACACGGAGATACTGATAAAAAAAACAAATACACAAAAATGAAAGAACTAGCAGCAGGGCATGTTTCAAGATTTATTGAGTGCGTGAGAGGACAATGGTCCACAGCACAGAAAAAGTCAACAGGAACAAATTCTTGGTTTTCAGAAGTCACACCAGGAACAGGCAGGAGGACACGGAGGATGGCCACTGGATGGCCTGGCCTAGATGGAAGAAAACCAGTCTTCCTGGGCCATGGCACTCTGTGGCACTGGCAGGGCAGAGCCAGCTGAAAGGTCTTCACCTCTGGATCCCAAGTCCCCAGAGCCACAGGGCTTTTCCTCTGCCCACCCTCCACCCACGCTGAGGGAAAAGTCGATTAGTGTTGTGCTGAGACAATAGGGGCAAGAAGGTCCAGCCATGCGTCATGGAGTGACATCACTCATCACTTTTGGTCTGTGATCAACCCTCAAACAATCTAAAAGAGAAGACAAATGAAGCCAGCGGCTTGGAATTTCTGCCTGGGAAACACAGGCCGACTTAACCTCTTGGCATTCACTTACCATGAGGAGACCCCTCCAGGGAAGCTGGGACCCCAGGTCATTGTCTCGAGAGGCTCAGTGCCTGCACCTCCTGGGGTTTCCTCCAACAGTCTCCAGACCCAGGGCGGCATCCCTGGAGTGAGGAGGGGCCACAGAGCAGGAGGCTGCAAGTGCTTGGTCGCCAGTGCTCTGCCATCTTTCTTCAAGCTGATGTCAATGGGAATGCCCCCAGTTAATCAAGGTATGAGTTGCCAGTTTCTTTCATACCAAACTCATCTCAAAAAGGAATCTCAATGCTCCCAAAGATTACTCAAAATAAAACTTAGGAGTCTAGCAAAACTGTCCTAGGAGTCTTGACATGCAACCGAGCAGATGTGCAACTGGCAGAGAGACAGCTGGAGAGAACTCTCAGGGCCCCTCCCATAGATGTCCCACCTCGCCGTGCTGGGAGCCAAGGACCACCCCAGCAGCCATCCCTCCACGCTCTCATTACTTGCCTGCACATCTGTCTCACTCTTGCTCACCCCAGACTCAAAGACCTTCTCATGTTGCTACCCCTCCCTGGAATACCTTTCTATTGCCCATCGCATCCCACTCTTTGAAAGACCTGCCCAGGTCCACCACCTCCAAAAGGCTGCTTCTCTTTGAAAATCTTAAGGCAGTGACTGTATGCCACCCAACATCACACTTATTTGTTAAAAAAAATAATTCACACAGGCTTTTCTCACCATCTAGTACCCAAACCTTGACACTGAGAGAGACTGTTCTCTGATAACAGGAGGCTAAGCTGAAAAAAGCCACACTAAAGTGTCTCCCATCACTCACTCACACAGCATCCTGCAATGCTCCTGAGACCAGAAGGTGCTGGCAGGAGAGAAGGAGTGTGTGAAGGCGCCAGCATTTGAAAGGGACAGGTGTGAACCCTCCAAACACGGGAAACGGCTTTCAGCAATTCCTCTCCCTGCGTTATCGATGACCAGAGCACAGGCAGCCCGTGATCATTTTTGAATGCAGGTGTATACAAGGGCAGAGAGAGATGCAGGAGGAGAAACAGATGCCAGCAGCCTGTGGACTAAGTCCAGTCCAGGAAAACAATCCAGCCCAGGACCCCAAAAGTGGCTCTGCTTTCCTGTAAAAGCCCCATAGAACTTCCCCGCCAGGAGGAATCAAAGAGAAGTCACATGGGGCAAAAACAGTGGGAAAATACTGGTTGGTAATGATAGGAATCATGTGGTCTCAAGTACCACAAAAGTCACCTCTATCAGAACATAATTTTCCAAATGAAGAAAATTAGGTTCTGAATCAGTCCTTGACTGGGATAGTGGCAGAAGGGGATTTAAAGCCAGAGGACCAGAGTCTCTGAAGCCTAGGTCCACCCATCTTCCATTACAACATCCTGCTGCCCGGGGAGAAAGGGCAGAGACCTCTTATTACCAAAGTGGGACTCTGGAGGTTTCCCCCCAGCAGGAAGTCCTAAAGGCACATGAAGGGCCAGAGGTGATGTGGGTTGGCTGGGTGGACAGCGGATCTGGGGACCCACAGTGCCATTCTCATCTCACCTCTCAACTCCCCTACACCAACCCCAAAGCCCCTGGGAACATGTACAGGACTGTACTAGATACAAAGAACCAACATTCCAAAGAATGAACCAGAGATCTTACCTCAAGGACACGGAGGTCTAGCATGTTCCCGACATGACAACTCCCATGCCTCTGCACACAGTGGACTATCTGCAACAGATAAGATGCCATGAGTGAGCACCTAGCTTGTCCCTGCTCACAGCAGGGATGGCAAGCAACAGGAAAGGGCTTAGCACAGTAGTTACCAGACAGTAAACATTCCTAAGCAAACACACTATTTCCTCATAAAAGAGAAAATAGTTAACTCTACAGAGGAAGACAGTGGATGGTCTACGGCAGGGTGAGGGTGGCCAGCACTGATCAATGTGTAGTTAATCAGCAGAAGATTGAAAGATCAAAACCAGGTTTACAGGAGTGTGCCACGGCTGAGGCAGTGACTCTGCTGGTCGTCAAGGGAATTTAAGCAACACACATAGCCTGGTTCCCAACAGCAGGGAGCAGGAAGTGAAAGCTCTAATCATGACGTGACACCCACGGCAGCCCCCAATCCCCTGGATGCCCCAGGTGTGTGCAGCTTTGAGAAGCAGGAGTGTAGGAAAGTTCCCGGGACAGGAAGGTGAAGATGTGGACCCTCCAAACACGGCAACCTTTCCCACATTTCCTCTGCCTGCACTACCAATGACCAGGACATGGGCGGCCCGTGATCACTTACGAATGCAGGCGCAGGAAAGAGCAGAGGGCAATCCAGGAACAGAGGCCAAAATGAGCTGCCTGGAGACTGCCAAAGCGCCAAGCCCAAAGGATCTGAGCGCTATCCACCTAATGCAGTACAAAGATCTCATGTGCCCCCATCAAGAAAGTCACAGAAGACTAATTTTTGGTTAAAAAAAAAAAAAAGGCTAAATTGTTCATTCATCCCACAAATATTAAGTATCTACGGGTTGCCAGACATCATGGGTTCAAAAGCAAGAAAAACGTGCAAGATCTCCCCTTTACAGAGTTTTCGCAGTTTCATTACATTACAGAAAGTCAAGCTCAAGAGAATGAAAGAACTTAGCCAGGCTCTCCTCTGCACCCGGCTTTGCCAGACAGTTCTCGGAATTCATGGCCATGCCCTCCGCTGGGGTCCCCCATGGTGCTCATGACCAACACCACTTACCCAGGGACATTCTCACCGCGCGGACAGTGGGAGCCCCTCAGGGAGTGCAGATCAGGGTGCTGCGGGAAAAACGGGGGCTGTGGCTGGTGCGGAACCAGCAAAGTCATCCAAGGGAGAGCTGTCATCTGTCTCCAGGAGAGCCGCACAGCCCACGAGGCCTAGGCAGGGAAAAGCATAGGGAAGGGGCTTAGTACAAGGTTCTGGCAAAGGAGTCTGGAATTCGCCCCTCTGGGGCCCTGGGCGTCCTCTATTAAAACCTCAGCCAATTGGTCTGTAAAATGGAGGTTTTACAGGTTATTGAGGAGAAAATGAGTTAACGGTTCCAAGGACGTGGCACAATGACTGACACTCTGTAGGCAACCGACAAGCAGCTTTGGGGGCTTCCAAAGTCAGGAGTCGGAGATCGGGGTCGGGGGAGTGAAAGTCGCGAGGTCTCTAGAGCCCCTCAGCCCGCGTGCAAGGCCCCGGGCTGCACGTTTCTCAAGGGGCACTAAGCCTCCCCGCATAGAGACTGTGCGGACCGGGGGTCTGACGTCTGCATGGGGTCGGCTCAGCCCAGCGAAGGCCGAGGGCGCGGCTCACCCGCCAGTCTTTTTCCCGAGGACACGCGAATCCTGAGGGGCCCACCCCGGTGGAGGGGACGCAGCACTGCACCAGGGGCTGGGCCTGACGTCCGGCCGGCTCTTCCCACTCCCCTCGGGGCCTCAGTTTCCCCTTTTGTCGGGAAGGAGGTACACAGCACCGGCCTTGGGAGGCCACTGGGGGTTCTTGGGAAGACCACGCCTCGGGCGCTGCCTCTCAGTGACTCATCCCGGGCGTCAGGATGGATGGCGGCGAGTACAGGGGTAACCTCGCGGAGGGGGGCGAAGAGCAGTCTGCAAACCGCAGCCACAAGACTCTCTCTCTGGTGCTCTGCGCCAGCGGAAATACGGCTGGGGGCGCGGCTGCAGCCTAGAGCGGCGCTTCCGCCGGGCCCCTACCTGCGCAGACGTGCCTGCAGCGCCCCCTGGCCGGACGGAGCTGCAATTCTGTCCCTCTACTAACGCCCTTTATCCAAGCGTTCATCTAAAGGAGCATCCCTTCCATGAGTTCACCCACCCATCCATTTACCCAGAAAATATTTGTGAAACGTCAGCTTCCATTTGAGGACACAGTGAGAAGACAGCCATCAGTCTATAAACCAGGAAGTGGGCCCTCACCACTTCCTGGTTTACCAAATCTACTGGTACCTTTGATCTTGGACTTTTAGCCTCCAGAACTGTGAGAAATAAATTTCTGTTGTTTATAAGCCACCCAGTTGATGATGGCACTTTGTTACGGCAGCCCAGTCGGGGGTCGGCTGGCAAATAGGTCAGCTTGGACCATGGCCAGCCTAGTGTCCACACACCCTCCTCTCCAAGCAAAAAAATAGAAAAAAATCCACTTCAAACATGCATCCCTTCTATCATTGGCAAGAGTGTGTCTGCAGTCTTGTTTTGTTTTTGACGTCAGCAGACAAAGGGTCAGTCATTGAGAACAGACTGTTCTTTAAATGCTGTAACAAAGGCTGTCACAACACACTTATTCAAGAACTCAACATGCTGCCCTGTTTGCTGGAATCCCTCACCACGTAGGCCAGTGTCACAGATGGGAAAGTCAACCTGGATAAGCAAAATGCCCACAAGGCTGTATGCAACAGCCAAACCCTCAGTGGAATTTCTTAATAACTGGCCATTTAGGACAAGTTAAGGAAAAGACTTGGGCTTTTAGATAGAATGTGTTGGCGATACAAACCTAACTTATGCTTCAAAAATAAAATACATTATTGGAAACTTATGTAATCAAGCGAGGGGAAGGGCAGAGGTCAAGCTGGGCCTCCAAAACAACGAACACCAGAACTGGAATTCCATCCCTGTCCTGCAACTCTGCCTCTCTCTCTGGGTGGACTTCTGACTTCACACTCGCTCTAGTTTTTTGCTTATAGTGAGGGACATATGCCACATTTACCCAGGGGAACATCTCCATCCTGCTTCCACTGAGGGTAGGCAGGACTGCCACATACAGTTGTGCAGGTCGTGTACTGCACTACTCCTGGGAGCACCATTCACATCATAGCCTATGGTTGAGAAGCAGAGATGCCAGGGATGCTTGGGCAAGCCGATGACACAGAAAACACTTGACTTAAAGGAGAGAAAGTGTTTTCCGTAGCGTGTTCTTCTCTGGTGCAGCAGAGTCACCCTGTGTCATACCATGTAATCCTTAAATAATGGTCCTTCTAATAAAGGCCGTTGAAAATATCTCTGAAGGGCAACACTTTGAGGGATTTTTTCTCCAAGCTACTTGAGATCAAGCAGAAGACTTTAATTAAACCTGTGACAGTGAAACCTGTGCAGGGTCATTAAAAAAAAGGAAAGATTTGCAAGCAGTAGCGGGGCTTTCTGAGAAATGCTATTCTGAACTCCACAAACTTTTTTTTTGAGACAGAGTCTTGCTCTGTCACCCAGGCTGGAGTGCAGTGGCGCGATCTCAGCTCACTGCAACCTCTGCCTCCCAGGTTCAAGGGATTGCCTGCCTTAGCCTCCTGAGTAGCTGGAATTACACCTGGTGACTAATTTTTGTATTTTTAGTAGATTGCACCATATTGGCCAGGCTGGTCTTGAACTCCCAACCTCAGGTGATCCGCCTGTCTCAGCCTCCCAAGTGCTGGGATTACAGGTGTGAGCCACCATGCCCGGCCTGATTTTTACAACCTTTGACACTCAAGCTCTCAATTCTCAAAATTACCTTCTGGGCCAAGGATAGGCACTTCCACCCTTTCTGGAGCTCTTGGAGGAGTCACCCATCTCTAAGATCCCTCATCTAATTTGTCTTGAGTGTGGGTTAGGACTTGTTGAGGCTGCACACCCCTCAGGGTGTCTGTGATTTGCTCGTTCATGGGATGCTTGGCCGAGTCCCCACTCCTTCCTGAGGAAGCTCACCCGGCAGGCCCTATCCAGCATGGCAGGGTGTGTGGTAGGGGTGGGAAGGTGGGCTGCAACAGAGGTAAAGGAAGGAGGAGTAGGTGTCAGGGAGCCTGCAGGTGGTCACATCCAGCTGTCACCATTTATAGAGGCAACTGATTTCCACTCTCGTGTCCACCTCTCCCGAGTGGTGGGGTCAGAAGGCATTCACAGGGCAGAAGCACCACTCCTGCCCTTCAAGGGCACTGGGACCAAGACTTTCCAACTGAAGTCTGCCAACTTTTTTTTTTTTTTTTTTAAACAGGGTCTTGCTCTGCCATCCAGCTTGCAGTGCAGTGGTGAAATTATGGCTCACTGCAGCCTCCACCTCCCAGGCTCAAGCGATCCTCCAGTCTCAGCCTCCTGAGTAGCTGGGACTATAGGAGCATGCCACCAGGCCCTGCTAATTTAAAAAAAAAATTGTAGAGATAGGGTCATACTGTGTTGTCCAGGTTGGTCTCTAACTCCTGGTCTCAAATGATCCTCCTGCCTTGGTCTCATATTCAGTCCATAACATCCTCCAAGGGTTTTTGAGATGTTGCTCCACGACACCAACATGCATTTCCTATTGATGTACTTTCATGCTGGGATTACAGACATGGGCCACCAGGCCTGGCCCTATGCTCATTTTCTGCTTTTGTTATTTCATTAATTTATTTGTTTTGTTTTTTGAGTCAAAGTCTTGCTCTGTCACCCAGGCTGGAGTGCAGTGGTGTGATCTCAGCTCACTGCAACCTCCGTCTCCTGGGTTCGAGTGATTTTTCCTGCTTCAGCCTCCCGATTAGCTGGGATTACAGGTGTCCGCCACCACACCCGGCTAATTTTTGTATTTTTAGTAGAGACGGGGTTTCACCATCTTGGCCAGGCTGGTCTCGAACTCCTAACCTCAAATGATTCACCTGCCTCAGCCTCCCAAAGTGCTGAGATCGTAGGCGTGAGCCACCATGCCTCACCCTAATTTTATTTTATTTGAATCAGTTAAGTTGTCCTGTTTTCTTTCTTTCTTTCTTCCTTCTTTCCTTCCTTCCTTCCTTCCTTCCTTCCTTCCTTCCTTCCTTCCTTCCTTCCTTCCTTCCTTTTTTTTTTTTTTTTTAACAGAGTCTTGCTCTGTTGCCCAGGCTAGAGTTCAGTGTGGCACACTAACTGCAATCTCCACCTGCTGGGTTCAAGCGATTCTCCTGCCTCAGTCTCCCAAGTAGCTGGGATTACAGGCGCCCGCCACCATGCCCAGCTAATTTTTGTATTTTTAGTAGAGACGGGGTTCACCAGGCTGGCTGGTCTTGAACTCCTGACCTCAAGTGATCCACCTGCCTCGGCCTCCCAAAGTGCTGGGATTACAGGTGTGAGCCACCATGCCCAGCCTTTTTCATTTTTTTTTTTAAGCCCTCAGAGCCAAAAGCAGACTGAGACACAAGGAATTTTTCTTACATGTCAGAATTAAGTGAGCCCTCTCCTGTTGCCACAATGAACATTTCCCTTTCTTCTTTTGCATCAACATTTAAAGGTCATCTATTACAGGCCACACAATGAGATGGGGAGATACTGCCCCCTCTGGTTCCTAACTTATCCACATACCAGCACAGGTGTCCACTCCCCATCCCTTCCTCCTCTTCAGCTTCAGAGTCTTCCTCTTTCTCCCCCCCAACCCTTAAGAGCCTTCCCATTGCAACTTTAAAGGACTCCTATTTGAGTACTTCAAAAATCCACCAAGAGCCAGACACGCTGGTGTGCACCTATAGTCCCAGCTACTGGGGAGGCTGAGGCAGAAGGATCCCTTGAGGCCAAAGAAGAATAGCAAGACCTCGTCTCCAGAAAAAGAAAAACCCACCAAGGTCCAAGCACGATGACTCACACTTGCAATCTTAGCACTTTGGGAGGTTGAGGTGGGAGAATCGTTTGATCCCAGGAGTTGGAGACCAGCGTGGACAACATAGTGAGACCTCATCTCTACAAAAAAAAAAAAAATTGTTTTAATTAGCCAGGTATGGTGACATGTGCTTGTAGTCCCAGCTACTTCGGAGGCTGAGGCAGGAGGATCGCTTGAGCCCAGCAGGTTGAGGCTGCAGTGAGCTCTAATCATGCCATTGCATTCCAGCCTGGGCAACAGAGCAAGACCATGTCTCAAAACACAAACAGAAAACCACCAAAGCACACCACCTCCAAGAAGCCATCTTTCTTTGGAAATCCTATCATAATCAGGATCTATACCCAATTTTTATACAATTCACCTGGCTGGTGAATGTTACCTCTTCTGTGCAGGGCTCATGCTCTGTGAGCCTCAGCCATCCCTTGAGTAGTTAACCTCGTCCTGGGGAACAAATAGTCCCGGATATACACAGCCTAATGTTTGCCAAGAAGTCAAGCTGAGAAAGGCCAAACAAAATGACAGCGCACAATGCCCCAGAGGCTTGAGAGTGTTCACAGAAGAGAAGTCGAATGCGAGAAAAGCACCAGCGTTTCCAAACACGGAGAATGCTTTGTGCAGTTCAACTGCCTGTACTATCGATGACCAAGGCATCAATAGGCAGCTGATGATCGCTTTCAAATGCAGACACAGAAAGAGAGCACAGCATGACACAGGGCGGGAGGCAGATGCCAATGGCCAGCATGGGAAAGAGCAGCCTGGTGAGCACGGAGCCCAGCAACAGCCACCCTGTTCTCCAAACCCGGGCAAATTTCCCTGCCAGGGAATGAAAGGGAACACGCTGCTGGTAAAAGAGAGGAAAAAAATCCTGGCTTTGGAAAAGATCAGGATTGTATTTATAAGAACAATGACAACAACAATAGTGGAAATTCCTTTCCGTCACAGCTTTGTTTTTGGGATGAGTAAACTGAGGTGAAAAGCAGGGCCCAGAGCTAGATCATGGCAGAGGGGATTGGGACCCGAGTATCTCTGATGCTCCTTCATTTTTATTTTATTATTATTTTATATTTTATTTTTAAATTTAATTTAATTTTATTATTTTATTTTATTTATTTTACTTTTTGATACAAGGTCTCGCTGTATTACCCGGGCTGGAGTGAAGTGGCACAGTCTCGGCCTGCTGTAACCTCCGCTTCCCAGGTTCAAACGATTCTTGTGCCTTAGCTTCCTGAGTAGCTGGGATTACAGGCACCCACCGCTATGCCTGGCTAATTTTTCTATTTTTAGTAGAGATGGGATTTTACCATGTTTGTCAGGCTGGTCACAAACTCCTGACCTCAAGTCTCAAGTGATCTGCCTGCCTTGGCCTCCCTGGTGCTGGGACTACAGGTGTGAGTCACCTGGCCCAGCCCATCTACCTGTTTTCTATTGCAGCACTCTGCTGCCACACTCCATGGATGCCCCCATAGTGCCCCCAGAGAGCGCTCATCACCCAAACGGACTCCTGAAAGACACAGTAACAGAGGAGCAGTAAGAAGCCGAGGAGGAGAATGGACAGATAACAACGAAATCTGCAGCATGGTGGTCACTCTTGGCGCAGAGATGGGTCTGGAGCTCCCGCAGGTCTTGCATGGTCAGTTGCTGACTTCCCACCTAGACTCCGGGCACCAACTCTTTGGAAGACGCTGTCCAGCTGGCCATGATTCCATCTCTTCTGGCGAAGGGGCTGCAGGCCCCGGGGATTTCTCAGCTACTATGAGGTCACAGACTTCCCGTGGTAGAACCTTGTGTTCTCAGCTACAATCCAATCCTTTGCAACCAGTAGGTTGAAAGCAGGACTCCTGATATGTCTGCTTAGACTTGCTAAGTGGAAGTGTCTCTCCCCTATCCCTAGAAAAATATCAGGCAAAGCCTTATAATTTTTCTGATCATTCTTAGGTAATAAAAAGTCTTGCAATCACTAAATATGGAAAACACAGTTTCCATTCAACAATTTTATTTTATTATTTTTTAATAATGCACCAGTAGGGTCAGGTGTGGTGGCTCACACCTGTAATCCCAGCACTTTGGGAGGCTGAGGCGGGTGGATTACAAGGCCAGGAGTTTGAGACCAGCCTGGCCGATATGGTGAAATCCCATCTCTACTAGAAACACAAAAAAATTAGCCAGGTGTGGTGGTGCACATCTGTAATCCCAGCTACTCAGGAGGCTGAGGCAGGAGAAGTGCTTGAACCCGGGAGGCGGAGGTTGCAGTGAGCCGAGATCGCACCATTGCACTCCAGCCTGGGTGACAGAGCGAGACTCAGTCTCAAAAAACAAACAAACAAACAAACAAAAAGTCTGGGCATGGTGGCTCAAGCCTGTAATCCCAGCACTTTGGGAGGCGGAGGTGGGTGGATCACGAGGTCAGGAGTTCGAGACCAGCCTGACCAACATGGTAAAACCCCATCTCTACTACAAATACAAAAATTAGCTAGGCACAGTGGCATGTGCCTGTAATCCCAGCTACTCGGGAGGCTGAGGCAGGAGAATCGCTTGAACCCAGGAAACGGAAGTTGCAGTGAGCTGAGATCACACCACTGCACTCAAGCCTGGGTGACAGAGCAAGACTCTGTCTCAAACAAACAAACAAAAAAACCAGGATTAGTTACAGATCTGCTGAATCCATTCAACAAGTTTAAATGTTCAGTCTAATGCATTATTATGTTTTCAATGATCTTTCATAGGTAAGACATTTCTCCACCAGCTGGGGCGACGTACAGGATGGGCTGCTGTCTGCTGGGGTGGGGACATGGGCCTTCTCTCTTCATGTATCCAGATATGTTTCTCTTCAATAGGAATTTTCTGTCCATTTACTCACTCTCAATACTTTCAGGATCAAACCAGGTGGAGTAAAGGGTAAGGAGAGGGGAGATGTCTCATCTGGTGCTTTTGCAAGAAGCCCACACCATCTCCAAGCTAGGGAGATGTTTAATCCTGATTATTTCTCTCTTTTTCTTTTAAGTTATCTCCTTCCTCAGTTCTGCATCTGTCCAGCATCTTCTTTGGAAGGCAGCCACTATTTTATCACGGAACCTTCAAAAACTGCCAATACTCAAATCAATTTTTGCCTATCACAACAGCAATTTTATTGCATTTTTAATTTTCTTTCTTTCTTTCTCTCTTTCTTTCTCTCTTTCTCTCTTTCTTTCTCTCTTTCTTTCTTTTTTTGGATGGTTTCACTCTTGTCACCTAGGCTAGAGTGCAATGGTGTGATCTTGGCTCACTGCAACCTCTGCCTCCTGGGATCAAGTGATTCTCGTGCCTCAGCCTCCTGAGTAGCTGGGATTACAGGCACCCACCACCACGCCTGGCTAATTTTTGTGTTTTTAGTAGAGATGGGGTTTCACCATGTTGGCTAGGCTGGTCTCAAACTCCTGACTTTGTCATCTGCCTGCCCTGGCCTCCCAAAGTGCTTGGATTACAGGCATGAGCCACCACACCCGGCCTCATTTGTTTCTTGAGATGCAATTGTATATGGTTATTCCCTCTATCTTGGTGCCTCCTTTCTCCTTTCCTTGATGTGTCAGCTGAAACTTCCTTTTTTTTGTTTTTTTGAGATGGAGTCTCCCTCTGTCGCCCAGGCTGGAGTGCAGTGGCTCCATCTTGGCTCACTGCCAGCTCCGCCTCCCAGGTTCACACTGTTCTCCATCCTCAGCCGCCTGAGTAACTGGGACTACAGGTGCCCACCACCACATCCGGCTAATTTAACATCCTGTTCCACTACTGTGGAACAAGCATCAACCACTCGTCTTAGGTGCCGATCCTGCTATAGGCACTGGGGCTGCAGGAATGAACCTGCCAAGGTGCCTTCCTTAGTGTTGTGGGAATAAGGAGTGCAAAAGAAAATCTGGAACTACAGAAAATCTGCAGTTCTGCCTGTTTCCAGCTTTCTGAGGGCACCTTGGCCTTAATTGCTAGCTCCTGAGATTCAGCTCGGTGAGGCCTCAATCTGAATATGCAGGAGGCCAAGCCCTTTCAGGCTCATAGGTGGGGCGGCAGAGGCGGGCGTGGGTTGTGGTTGCACTCAGCCTCCTGTTTGCTGTGTCTCTTCCAGCTCCAAAGGGGTGATGAGAGCCAGATTGCCTTAGATCTGTGGTGGGGAGTAGAGCACTGGAAATGTGGCTACAGAGCACTGGAAATGTGGCCAGTCGGAATTGTAATGTGCCATAAATGTAAATCACACACCAGATTCCAAAGACCTCATACAAGAAAAAGAATGGTAAATAGCTCATAAGTAATTATAAAATATTGATTACATGCTGACATGATAATATTTTGGTTATATTCAGTTAAATAAATTATTACAATTAATTTTACTTTTACATTTTATCTTTTTTTTTTTTTTTTTGAGACGGAGTCTGGCTCTGTCATCCAGGCGGGAGTGCAGTGGCCGGATCTCAGCTCACTGCAAGCTCCGCCTCCCAGGTTTACGCCATTCTCCTGCCTCAGCCTCCCGAGTAGCTGGGACTACAGGCGCCCGCCACCTCGCCCGGCTAGTTTTTTGTATTTTTTTAGTAGAGACGGGGTTTCACCGTGTTAGCCAGGATGGTCTCGATCTCCTGACCTCGTGATTCGTCTCTGTGGTTACAGGCTTTTTTTTTTTTTTTTGAGATGGAGTTTCGCTCTTGTTGCCCAGGCTAGAGTGCAATGGGGAGATCTTGGCTTACCGTAACCTCCGCCTCCTGGGTTCAAGCGTTTCTCCTGCCTCAGCCTCCAGAGTAGCTGGGATTACAGGCACGCACCACCATGCCTGGTAATTTTGTATTTTTAATAGAGATGGGGTTTCTCCATGTTGGTTAGGCTGGTCTTGAACTCCTGACCTCAGGTGATCCACCTGCCTCAGCCGCCCGAGTATCTGGGACTACAGGCGCATGCCACCAGGCCCGGCCAAGTTTTGTATTTTTAGTAGAGACAGGGTTTCACCATGTTGGTTAGGCTGGTCTCAAACTCCCGACCTCAGGTGATCCGCCTGCCTCAGCCTCCCAAAGTGCTGCGATTACAGGCGTGAGCCACCGCACCCGGCCTTGCATTATATTTCTATTGGACAATGCTATCTTTCTCTTTCTTTTTCTTTTTTGAGACAGGGTCTCAGTCTGTCAACCTGTCTGGAGTGCAGTGGTGTGATCTCGGCTTACTGCAGCCTCAACTTCCCAGACTGAAGTGATTCTCCCACCTCAACCTCCTGAGTAGCTGGGACTACAGGACTGCTCCACCATGCCTGGCTAACAATGCTATCTTAGACTTTTCAAACACAGCACATTTCCTCTGCTTCATAAATAATCCCAGGGTCCTTACAGTGACAGAAGCCCTCAGCTTTCTCAGAATACTACAATACAGCAACTACTAGGCCTGGGATATTTGTTCTGTGCTACGGTCTTGATATAAATCATTTCATTTAATTCTCACAGTAACGCTATGAGCAGGGAACTATGACTGCCTATTTTCCGTAACTGGAAACTAAGGCTGGGCGGAGAAGTTAGGTTACTTAGCCAAAGTCACATGGAGAGTAACAGCAAGAGTAGGAGGCAGAAGAGGACACCAGGGTTGTGTGGCCACAAGTGTGCACACCTGACCCCCCTGCCCAGTGTCCTCTCAGTCACAGCATCTGTATTAGTCCATCCTCACGCTGCTATAAAGAACTGCCTGAGACTGGGTAATTTATAAAGGAAAGAGGTTTAATTGACTCACAGTTCAGCATGGCTGTGGAGGTCTCAGGAAACTTACAATCATGGCAGAAGGGGAAGCAAACACGTCTTTCTTCACATGGTGGCAGCAAGGAGAAGTATAGAGCAAAAGCGGGGAAAGCCCCTTATAAAACCATTAGATCTCATGAGAACTCACTATCATAAGAACAGCAGCATGGGGGTAACCGCCCCCATGATTCAATTACCTCCCACGACAGGTGGAAATTATGGGAAGTACAGTTCTAGATGAGATTTAGGTGGGGTCACAGCCAAACCATAGCAGCATCCCACAGCCCCTCCCCATCACAGAGACTCACAATGTTCTTACAGTCTTGGAATCCCATAGGCCTCTCCCAGGTACAAAATATGGAGCAGATCTCACCTTAAGGACCCCCATTTCCCTCATGGTCGCATAGGTCAGGCCTGGATTTTCTTGTCCTTCTGACCTATTGAGTACCAAGAATCTGACTGGAGCGGAGTGTGTGGGCTCCTCATCAGGCCCAAGGGTGGGCTGCTTGCACTCCAGAACATGGGCAGAGTCAGTAGCAGGGCTGTCTCAGGCCCAAGAGGCACACCCTGCCCAGGATGCAGACAGTGCCAGTGCTTATGAGAATTTGTGGGCCATTAAGTCCCCTCCCAAGATTGTCTCCAGTATGCTGCAGAGAACATGGAACATCTGTCTATAGTCTCCGTCACTGTGCAAATCTGATCAAGTTCCTCATATGCAAATCTTGAAGTTCAGAGACTCTTTCCACCCTCCATCCCGTGTACTTCGAGGCTGGAGTTTAGCAAAGCAGTTACCCGCTGTGCTCCCCTCTTGGCTCATCTTCTCACCCTCACATTCCAGTCTCTGGCCATGACTCAGTCATCTCGGCCTGACATTGTTCAGAAAAAAATGGATGGGGTGGGGGTAGAATGCATTCATTCAACGGTGCTAGCCACTGAACTGGGTACCGAGTACAGTGGTGAATCAAAGAGACGCCTTTGAACTCTTGCAGAAAGAAGTTCAAACTAAGCACAGTCCCCTCATCGTAGTAACAGCTCCTATCATGGAAAATTGGCCATTCCTACAGATTAATAAGAGTCAGTGACCAAGGAACATCTTCAGAACAAACAGAAAAGCAAAGCAAGTGGGAGAAGATTACTTCTAAACTTCCAGGCTGTTTTCGAAATTTATCCCAAGTCCTCCAGAGTCTGGAGTTGAACTCCGCTCCGCCAGAGGACGCTGCAGGGCTGCTCGCGTCGGTTCCTTCCGCTCTAGGCCGCAGTTCGCGCTCTCATCTGTATTTCCGCCGGCGCGAAACCAGTGTAGCTTGCTAGTCGTGTGGCCTCGGTCTTTCGCCGTCCCTCGCTATCGCACGCCATCACACACCATCGCAAGCCACCGCACTCCATCGCTCGAAATCTGCAGACATCTTGATTTTTCCCGCGCTGTCTGTCAGGTCTCCGCCGCCACTCGACGCCAGGGCGCCGGGTGAGTCCACAGCAGGGCGCGTGGTCTGCGACACTCTCACCATCGGGGAAAACTGAGGCCCCAGGGAAGGCGGCCAGAGAGGTCAGGCCCGGTCCCTGGTGCAGTGCCTCGTCCCCTTTGCTGGAGTGAGCCCCCTGGGATTCGCGTGTCCTCGGGAAAGATACTGGCGGATGAGCCGCGCCCTCGGCCGCCGGTGTGCTGAGCCGGCCACGTGCAGACGTCAGACCCCCTGTCCGCGCAGCTACTCTGCGGGGAGGCTTAGTGCCCCTGGATGACGGGAAACAGGACTCGGCGACTTTAGGTGCCCGCCCCCGACTCCTGGCATTGGAAGTCCCCAAAGCCACTTGTCTTTTGCCTACAAAGTGTCAGTCATTGTGCCATGTCCTTGGGACCGTTAACTTGTTTTCCCCTCAGTACCTTTTAAAAGGTGTTAGAACCTTCATTTTACAGACCATTTAGCTGTGGTTTAAATGGAAGGCGCTCCCAGCACCCCAGTGGGGCAGAGTGTGGACTTCTGTCCCCGGGCCTTGTCCTAAAGCCCCCTCCCCGTGCTCTTTCCCTGCCTAGGCTTTGTGGGCTGTGCTGCTCCTCGGAGGGCTTGGCACCAGCCAGCGCCCCCTCCTGCAGCACTCTGATCTGCACCCCTAGAGGGGCGTCCACTGTCCGTGGGGTGAGAATGCCCGCTGCTTATGCGCACCGTGGGTAAGGACCCTTCTGTGGGACCCAGTAGAGGGGACGGTCAATGAGCTCAGCCAGTTCTGAGTTCTGAGAACTGTCTGGCAAAGCGGGTGCAGAGCAAAGCGTGATTTAGGAGACAGGGGCTGGCCTTGGGGGTCACATCCTGGCTAAGATCCTTCATTCTCCTGAGGGTGACTTTCTGTAAAGTAGGGAAACTGCAAAAGCTCTCCGAGGGCAGAGGCCTTGGCTGTTTTTCTTGATTTTAAACCCATAGTGCCTGTCCACGTGTAGATACTCAGAATTGGTGGGCTGAGTGTACAGCCGAGGCATTTTTACCAGAAGTCAGTTTTCCTGTGGACTCTGGGTGGGGACAGATGGAATCTGCCTGTGAAGTGATGATGGCTGTCAGGGTCCTGGGTACCTTTCTCTTCCCTGGGGAGTGAGCACCCCTTTGGAGATGTGGCAGCTAACACGCGAACGTGGGCTCACCTGCCCTTTTTTGCACCTGTATTCGAAAGTGATCGTGGGCTGCCTGTGCCCTGGTCATTGATAGTGCAGGGAGAGAAATCGCTGAAAGCGCTTCCCCGTGTTTGGAGGGTCCACTCCTGTCCCTTCCAAACTCTGGAGCTTTCTCACACCTCCTCACCATCTGTCAAATGCCTCCTGGCGCTTGGTGTCTGATGATTATTGAGTGCTCCCTGTGCAAGGCTCAGTGCCGGTGTCTGTAAGGCGTTCACCAAGGTGTATGAGGGTGTGTCCCTGCCTTAGGATTGGTGGTGGAACCACAGCTACAGCTCTGCTAGTCACACCCTGTGGCAATTACTGGCTTGATTGTCTTTGCCTCTCTATTTTGACCTTGAGGGCAGTGTCTTGAGCTTTTGTTTAATATTTTATTGTATTTGTTTAGTGACAGGGTCTCACTCTGTTGTCCAGGCTGGGGTGCAGTGTGCAGTGGCGTGATCATAGCTTGAACTCCTGTACGCAAGTGATCCTCCCACCTCAGCCTCCCAAATAGCTGGGACAGACAGGGTCTCGCTATGTTTCCCAGGCTGGTCCTGAACTGGCTATAAGTGATTTTCCCTCTGTCTTCCAAAGTGCTGGAATTACAGGTGCGAACCACTTCGCCTGTCTCAGTATCTGAGTCCTGTCTCTTGACTTACCTGGTGCTTGGCAGATGGTTGATTTTCAGCAGTTAAGGAACAAATGAAAAACAGGAGATGGGCTGAGCACGGTGGCTCACACCTATAATCCCAACACTCTGGGAGGCCAAGGTGGATGGATCCCTTGAGGCCAGGAGTTCAAGACCAACTTGGCCAACATAGTGAAACCCCATCTCTACTAAAAAATACAAAAACTAGTAGGTTGTGGTGGCACATGCCTATAATTCCAGCTACTCAGGAGGCTGAGGCACACCAGAATCGTTTGAACACAGGAGGTGGAGGTTGCAGTGAGCCAAGATCACGCCCCTGCACTCCAGTCTAGGCTATAGGGTGAGACTATGTCCCTAACAAAAAACAAAACACAGGAGCTGGAAAAAGACAATTGTGGCTGGCCGTGGTGGCTCACACCTGTAATCCTAGCATTTTGTGAGACTGAGGTGGGTGGATCGCTTGAGGCCAGGAGTTGAAGACCAGCCTGGGCAACATGGCAAAAACCTGTCTCTATAACACACACACACACACACACACACGCACACACACGCGCCAGGTGGCATGCGCCAGGAGGTGGAGGTTGCAGTGAGCCGAGATTGTGCTACTGCATTCCAGCCTGTGCTGCAGCCTGGACTGCATTCCAGCCTAAAGACTTAGAATTGTAAGGTGACAGGGCTTTGCACGTCACCTTGTTGCATGTCAGTGGAATACTTTTGAGCGAGGCAGCCTGTGTGGGGGTGGTCAGAGCTATTTCCCACTGGCCCAGTGGTCATCCCATGGTGTTCCCCTTGACTGTCTTGTCCGTGGGCCACCAGGATGAATTTCCCCACAGGATTGTCATTGTGATGTCAAGGACCAAAGCCAGAGGTGTAGGTAGGCATGGCTGATAGTGAGATGTGTAATCAGCCCTGACCCACAGATGACAGATGGGCCATCCTGCCCGAAACAGCCCTCACTGTGTATGCCAGACTCCGCCACGCTGGTGTGCCACACCAGAACCTGTCCTAGGTTCAGAGTCCCCTTCAGTGTGCTGCTTCAGGATCACAAATTCAACAATATGTGCGTAAGATGAGACTTAAGCTGTCCCTGATGTGTGGTTCTTCTCTAGACGAACTCTTTTCGTGTTGCTGAGACCGTGAACCACTGTTAACACCAGCCAACTTTTAGGAAACGTTTACCACCTGGTTCTGTGCCAGTCTTCTCCTTGTCCTTTCCAGAACAGGTTTGACCAGGTGACGTCTAGATAGCTCATCCAGGGCTTCTTGATTCTGGCAGAGGAGGTTGATTGGTGCAGAGGGGCCCATGAGAGGTGTCTCCATCCTGCCGGGAAGCAGGTGGACCATGGTGTTCCACGAGGTCTGTCCTCTGGAGATCTGGGGCTTTGTGTCCCACAAGAGTGGGTGCATGCAGGTTCCCTGGGCGTGACGTCTGGGAAGTAGACAGAAGTGAGGTGAGGGTGTCTTTGTGCTGGCCCCAGTTTTACTCTCTTTGGGGCCATGATGAACGCATTGGGTTTCTCTTGTGCCTGCTTAGGTTTAGTGTCTTCAGGGATCCCTTATCATTGTTGTGTCTTGGAATATGTGACTCAAAAGCTGGAGGGCTTTGGCATCAAACCTACTTGTATCCTGGTCCTGAACGCCTTACCACCACTCCCTAGCTTTGGTTCTTTTTATGATCCTCAGTTTCCTCATCTGGAGAACAGGAGTACACCGAGGTGATTTTTCTTAGGATCACACAGTCCCTGTCTTCCACGTCCGAAGAACTCTGTCAGCTTCTCATCTGGAGGGTCTTTCCTTTACCTCTCCTGGTTGGGGCAGGTTCCATTTATGTGGGAGAAGATGGAAGCTGCCTCATCCTGTGCTCTGCTGTGCCACTGTCCCGGCTCAGGCCATTTTCCAGGCTTCTGACACTGGTCTCCGATTTCAACAAGCCCTGGATCTTTTTCTGCCCCTGTGTGCAAAGTGATTACAGGCTGCTTGTGTCTTGGTTATTGGTAATAAAGGAAAAGTTACAAGGTTTTCCTCTTGTGGAGAGGAACCATTGTCCATTTCAGACGGGATGACCTCAGGGGACTGTGTCAGTGACCCAAGATGGGCTAGACAAGCTGTCAGTACATTCGCCTCCTGAGACCCTGATTCCCCAGGTGTGTTTTCTGTGGGTGAATGTTGTGGTTTCCTGGACTTGCCATCAGCAGTGTCAAGTGCATCAGTCACATCTTGGCTTCTTGTGCCCCGCAGGAGTGTCACACGACTGCTGCCCCATGTGTGTGAGAGGTGTCCTCTGGGAGAGCATGGATTCTGAGGTCCCAGGTAAGTGGGGTTCTGCTCGGTTCTCTAGAGCTCAAGTTCTCTGCAGGCTGTGAGGCCAGAGGTGGTTGGGTGCTGAGGGGTGGGGAGCGAGGGCACAGGTGAAGGCTGCTTCGCTTTGCTCCCGTCTTTGCTTCCTCAGCAGGCAGGGACAGGTTTGGACCCTCTTCTGCCTTCAGGGCTGCTGCCGAGAAGGTGCTCCCTGAGCTTGATTTGGGCTCTGAGAGTCCCTGAGAAAGTCCCTGTGATGTTGAGAGGAAAACCGTGTGTTGGAATGGACAGAGGGGCTGCGTTTCCGATTCAAGCCTGGATTCATACCCAGTGGCCGGCTGAGTGGTCTTCCGTGAGCCTCAGTGGAACAGATAGCCAATGTTGCTACCCTCCAGCCCAGTCTGTCTGTTTTATTTATTTATTTATTTATTTATTTATTTATTGAGACAGACTCTCGCTCAGTCGCCCAGGCTGGAGTGCAGTGGCGTGATCTCGGCTCACGGCAACCTCCGCCTCCCGGGTTCAAGTGATTCTCCTTCCTCAGCCTCCTGAGCATTTGGGATTACAGGTGCCTGCCATGACGCCTGGCTAGTTTTTTGTATTTTTAGTAGAGATGGGGTTTCACTGTGTTGATCAGGCTGGTCTCGAACTCCTGACCTCTGGTGATCCACCCACCTCAGCCTCCCAAAGTGCTGGGATTACAGGCGTGAGCCACTGCGCCTGACCAATTTTTATTTTTATTTTTATTTTTATTTTCTTTTGAGACAGAGTCTCTCTGTGTCGCCCAGGCTGGAGTGCAATGGCGCAATCTTGGCTCACTGCAACCTCCGCTTTCTGGGTTCAAGTGGTTCTCCTGCCTCAACCTCCCGAGTAGCTGGGATTACAGGTGCCCGCCACCATTCCTGGCTAATTTTTTTTTTGTATTTTTAGTAGAGTTGGGGTTTCACCATATTGGACAGGCTGGTCTGGAACTCCTGACCTCAGATGATCCACCTGCCTCGGCCTCCCAAAGTGCTGGGATTACAGGCGTGAGCCACCGCGCCCGGCCAGCCCAGTCTTTGAGAAGAGCCCCAGGATTCTAAATATTTCTGCCGGTGTTTACCTTCCTTTCAGCTTCTGGCAGGGAGTGGTAAGTGATCTCGGGGAATCAGAAGTCGCACCTGTAATCTTAGGCTGTAAGTCTGCTCGTTGCAATGGCAGCTGTTCTGTTCTAGGTAAGACCATTGCCCAGAATGCTGGCATTGGCCTCCTTTCTGGGCTTGCCCTCTGCCCTTTCTGACCCTGCATTAGAAAGTGATTATGGGCTGCCCGTGCCCTGGTCATTGGTGGTGCAGGGAGAGGAACTGCCGGGAGCACTTCCCCGTGTTTGGAGGGTGCGCTCCTGTCTCTCCCAACCCCTGGAGCTTTCCCACACCTCCTCCCTCCCACCACCTCTTCGATGCCTCCTGGTGCCTGGCATCGTCTACTGAGTTGTGTTGCTCTTCTCCCTGGCCCAGGGCAGGTTAGTGTGAGATGTGAGTGAAGGGTGTGAGGTGAAGGGTTTGGCCTCAAGGAGCAGAAGGGCTGGGTGTGGAGCTGAGACAGGGCAGCCCTGCTCCTTCCTCCCGGAAGCTTTCTCTGCCTCCACAGCTCTCCTTCCATGTCCTTATCCAACCCCCTCTGCACCAAGCTGACCCCACAGAAATTATTGCCTGACTTGTCTCCTGGCCCTCTTTGCTGTGGTCTTAAGGGTAGTGTCTGAATTTTGTTCCCTACTTTGTTCTGTCTGCCAGATGGTCAGTATTCCAACAGCGTGGGACAAAGGATAAACTGCAGCCTGAGCAACCCCGCCTCTATAAGAACTAAAAATTGGCCATGCGTGGCGGTGCCTGCCCCTGTAGTCCCAAGTACTTAGGAGGTTGAGGCAGGAGGCTCTCTTGAGCCCAGGAGGTCAAGGCGGCAGTGAGCCATAGGTGTGCCACTGCACTCAGCCTGGGCAACAGGGTGATACCCTGTCTCAAGAAAGAACAACAAGAAAGGGAGAGTCCCTCCATTGTTAGGAGATGGGTTCATTGCATTTTGTGGTGGTAGAGAAAAATACTGAGTCAGCACCTACGTGGGATTGGTGGGAGCAGATTTGGTGTTTTCCACCCCTTCAGAGGATTCTGAGGTGACTCAGTTCTGTTGGCCTTGACCTTACATGGCCACTGGGGAGGATTTTCGCCCCAGCTTGTGGGGAAAGGAATCAAGGACCAGAGACAGGCAGGGGAGAATATCACCGAGGGATCTATGGCAGCAGCCTCCACACGGCTTCCCCACTGCCTCCTCGGTGCTCGCCAGACGCTGCTGGAGAAACAGCACAGTCAGTCCCAAGAACATCACGGTCCCAGCATCCTCTTGAACTTAGTAACAGTTGGCCTGACAGATGAAGCGGTTGTCATCCCTGCCTTAGAAGTTCTCCAGGCCCTTTCTTAGAGATGAGCTGCTGTTTCGTTCCGGCTATTCAGGTGAAAACAGTTTAGTCAGCATTTTCGCAACACTGTGTAGAGAGGCTTGGTGAGAGGTGTTGGGACGCAGGAGAGTGGCAGACCGCAGGGCCCGAGGTAAGGTTTCGGGTCCATCTCTGGAACTTTGGCTTTTTGCACCCTGTAAAGTCACGTTCCCTTTTTTCTGGTGCTTTAGTGGTGATGTAGGGAGAGGTGAGGATGAGAAGAGGGGCCGCATCCCATGGATTCCCAGATCCAGACTCCTCTTCCCTGGGAAACCTGGATTGGAGCTGGCCCTCCTGTGCCTTCAGGGGCTGTGGAGGAGGAGGCCCCTGCAGGGACCTGCCCGGGGCGAGCGCTGGGGCTTTTCCTGCAGTGCATCAGCAGCAAGTCATAATGGAAAATGGCTGGAGTAAGGGCCGTCCGTATCTGGCCCTTAGTTCTTCCTCTGCCACCACCTGGCTCTGACCATTTTCTTTCCAGTTGTAATCAATGGTTTAGATTTATCCTAGCGACATTGTAGGGGTCCACAGCCAAATGACTCAGGAAAAATGATGCAGATTGAGTCTGGAGGAATCCCTGTGCCGGCTTCCTCATGCTCTCTCCCTCCCTCAGAAATACGTGGAACCCACTCTCCCCTCAGCAGTGAAAATGCTTTCAGCCTGTGTGCAGTGTTTCTGCCCAGGGAAGCCCAGTAGGGACTCCATGCCCGGGGTTTTTACTGGGAGCTGGTTATGTAGACACCATCGGCCTAGCATGCACCAGAATTCCAGACTTCCAGGAGGAAAACAGGCGCCTGTACCACATTATCTGCATAGAGAGACTGTGTCCAGTGAACAGCTCTGATCAGTAAACTGTTGACTGGGAACATCTCTAGAGCCAAGTTCCCAGATACCAGCAAAGGGCCATCTGACCTGTTTTGAATCTCAATTTCCTGATACAGAAAACAAAGGTAGGGCAGAATTGATTTTTACGGATGTGACCTCATGATCCTGCTCTCTAGTCCCCAGATTTTTCCAGGGCTTTTGCCAGAGGTGTCTCCCCTTTGATTCCCCTTGGTGGTTAGGTTTTATGGGATTTTGCAGGACAGATGGCAGCTGCAGGAGTCTTGTACTGTCCCTAACTTGGGTCATCCCACAGGCCCTGGTGCCATCCTCCTGCTCTTCCTGACTCTCCTTGTGTCCTTTTCTGCTCCTGCATCCGAGAGTGATCATGGGCTGCCTGTGCCTAGGTCATTGATAGTGCAGGGAGAGGAACACCAGAATAAGTTGTCCCCGTGTTTGGAGGGTCCACCTTATCCCATCCGAACCCTAAAGCTTTCACACACTCCTGTTTTTCTCCTGCCAGCCCTTGAGGAGTCTGGTGCTTTCTTGGCTGCCACATGAGAGTCAGTGCCGGGGGACATCATGCTTAGGTCTTTCTCAGCTTGACCTCTCTTTGCAGAAACCAGGCTCTGTGTATTGAGGGGTGGATCTGGGTTGTAGAGCATCAGTCTGGCTCATGGGAAGGGAATGTGATGTATAATGAGTCATGGTGCATCGCGGGGGATAGCACGGTTTTGAATGAGTGCAATATTGGCATGTACAGTGATATCCACAGAATTTCCATGAAGTAACTTCCTGAAGGTGGTTTCTATAGCACTTGAATAGGAGGGGAGGTGAGGAGCACATGTACCAGGGAAGAGGGGACAACATGAGGAAGACTTTGAGGTTGGGGTGAGCAGGGCTGACCGTGTGTGTGTGTTTGTGTGTAACTTGGGGACAGGATAGGGTAGCATCTTTACATCTTTACATGTCATTGGCCTGGAATAGGGGGTCCTGAAGGGTTTGTCATAAGAAAGAGAAAGTGTTCATTGCTGCAAGGGCAGCATAGCTGTGTTCTGAGAGGCAAAACATTTCCCTCACTTCCCACCCAAGAGTTTCGCCTGCTTTCTTGCCCCTCTGAGGTGTGCATTGGTGTCACTCACTGGCCACCGTTCCAGCTCTTAATTCCTCTGCCTTTTGTGCTGGCCTTCAGGGCTCCCCTGAGGGTGACTGGTTCTCAGGTTGGCTGGAGGAATGGGTGGAGTTGTAAGATCAGGAATAAAGCTAGAGAGGGAGGACCAAGTGGAAGTCACTGATGCAGCCGCCTTCTAGCCTACCCCACCCTAATTGAGAGGTCGCTTTTTCCTGTTGAACATGTTGGATAGTGGGATGTGTTATAAGAAGTGATGTGTGTGGCTTCTTGGCATTGCAGGATTGTCAGCTGACCTCTGTCCTGTGGGCCCAGAGGCCCCAGGTGACATTTCTTCAAGAAGAGGCTGAACTGTGGTGCTTGTAAGGTATGAATCTTGGGTGCTTCTCTAGAGAATGCACTGGTGTTCAGGCTGCAAGGACGAAGGCTTTGAGGTCACTAGAGGGGAGGCAGAGGCTGCTTCCCATTGCTTGCTCCTCCACTGAGGCCCACAGGGACATGTGACACCCTCTTTTCCTCCTCTGCCACTCCACTGTGTGAAGCACGGTGGGGTTACAGAGCTCCCCTTGGGCTCTGAGTCATCCTAGATTGGCCTAGTTTGTTGAAGTGGGAGGAGTACTGCATTTTGGAGGCAGGCAATTAACTAGTGGTTTTCTCTGGACTTGGTGGCAATCTTTGTTATCAAGTGATTTATGGATTTTTTTTTTTTTTTTTTGAGACAGGGTCTCACTGTCTCCCAGCCTGGAGTGCAGTGGTGCAGAGAAGGCTCACTGCAGCCTCGACCTGGGCTCAAGTGATCCTCCACCTCAGCTTCCCGAGTCGCTGGGACCACAGGTACATGCTGCTGCACCCAGCTAATTTTTAAAATTTTTCTGTAGAGGCGGAGTCTCACCATGTTGCTCGGGCTTGTTTTGAATTCCTGGGCTCAAGCAATCCTTCCACCTTTTCTTCCCAAAGTGCTGGGATTATGGATAGTAAGCCCATGCCTGGCCGATGTATGGATAGTAGTATCACACAATTCTAACTTCCTAAGCCAGTGAATTCTCAACGTTTCACCCAGAGTTGATCTTCCCTCTCATTATCTTATGAGGGAAGCATTGGAGTAGTGGTTCTCAAACTGTGGTCCCAGAACCAGGCACCATCCCTATTACTTGGGAACTTGTAAGAAATGCAAGTGCTTAGCCCTGTCCCGACCTACTACATCAGAAGTTTTGGGGCTGGAGCCAGCAATCTGGCTTAACATGCTCTCCAGGTGATTCTTACTCGTGCTCAAGTTTGAGAAATCAAAGCATGTTAGAAATCTTTGAGAATCAGAAGCAGCTGCTGCAATTCTAGGCTGCGAATCTGGTCACTGACTTGTTTCCAGGTCTCTTAGTTTGGGTTCTTCCTAAGCTGCTGGCAGTGCCTCCCCTCTCAGCTCACTCACTGCCCTGTTTTGCCCCCTGTATTCGAAAGTGATCGTGGGCTGCCTGTGCCCTGGTCATTGATAGTGCAGGGAGAGGAATCAATGAAAGCACTTCCCCGTGTTTGCAGGGTCCACTCCTGTCCCTTCCAAACTCTGGAGCTTTCGTACATGTCTTTATTCTCATCAGTGATGTTACCTCCTGGTTCCTGGTTGTCGTGCCAGACCCCTGTTTCCTCATTAGGGATGGCGCCAGGTTCAACAGGCCGGAGAAGAGACCTGGAGCCAGTGAAGGAAACAGGGTTTATTTGGGGGAACTTAGAGGGCAGTCAGCAGTCTAGTGGTGGTGGGCTGGATGGGAGCACCTCATCCGCTTGTAAAAAGCATGCAGATTATATAGCACCTTCTCCCAGTAACCTCCACATGGCAACCTTCGTTTCCTAAGAAGCCATTGTTATGTCCATCTACCATACACTGGTGCTGTATGGTTCATTGAGTGCCCCTTGTGCCCAGCATGGTGGAGGGTACTCAGAGGCTAAAGGAAAGGACGGTGAAGCAGAGACCTGCCTCACTGAGTTTATGTCTCTGAGCTGGTTTTGGAGCCACAATAGTGGTTACCCCTTCCTAGAGCTACACGCAGAAGCTCTCTCTGCCTCCCCATCACACTCCTTCCCACCTGTCAGCACTGGTCACACTGTCTGGGAATTCTTGGTTTGCTTCTCATGCCCCCTCTGCTGTGAGCTTCCTCAGGGCAGTGCCTCTGTCTTGTTTCATGTCATGCCTGGTAACTGACATGTTGCACCTGGACACAAAGTAAATGAGAAGACACATTGTTGTAAGGTGACAAGGCTTATCCCATTGAGCAGTGCTGGGGTTAAAAATGTCCTAGAGCAAGCCAGCTGTTACAGTCCACCTTCAGTCCTGGCCGTGAGCAGCATCCGTGGTCCACCAGGGGTGGATTTTCCCTCTGGCCTTAGATTACAGTGGCAAGGGCTGGAGTAGTAATTGAGGGAGACAATGTGCGGTATAGTCTGATGTATGAACACAGCTCTTACACACTAGATGGTGGGCGTGGGGCTCTCCCACCCCACCTGTTCGTTACCCATTCCAGGTCTGTGCTGATCACTGCCAGACATAGCCTGCTCCAAAAGCCTTCTGGCCTCGGCATCCTTTTGTTTTTAATTTTTATTTTTAAGACAGAGTCTCGCTCTGTTACCCAGGCTGGAGTGCAGTGGTGCAAACACAGCTCACTGCAACCTCTGCCTCCCGGGTTCAGTGATTCTTGCGCTTCAGTCTCCCGAGTAGCTGGGATTAAAGATGTACACCACCATGCCCAGCTAATTTTTGTATTTTTAGTAGAGATAGGGTTTCACTATGTTGGCCAGGCTGGTCTCATGTGATCCACTTGCCTCAGCCTCCCAAAGTGTTGGGATTACAGGCGGGAGCCACCACACCCAACCTGTTGTTAAAATTTTTATTGTCTATATTTGAAGTTTACAACATGATGTTATAGAATAATGGGACGGATATAGATAGCACGGTGGTTACTGTGGTGAAGCCGATGAACATATCTGTCATCTCACATAGTCACCGTTTTTAGTGTATGTGAGGAGCAGCTGAAATCTACTTAACAGAAATCTCTTACGTTGTGCATGAGCCATCTAAACTTACTCATCCTGTGTATCTGCTACTTGGTGTCCTTTGACCTACATCTCCTTATTTCCTCCAGCTCCTGCCCATGGTAATCACCATTTTATTCTCTATCTGTGTATGCTTGACCTTTTTTAAATTTTTTTTTTAACATTGCACACATAAGTGAGATATGCACTGTTTGTCTGTGTCTATTTAGTTTAACATAGTATCCTCCAGGTCCATCCATGTTGTGGCAAATGACAGGATCTTTCTCTCTCTCTCTCTCTCTCTCTTTTTTTTTTTTTTTTTTTTGAGACCGGGTCTCCCTCTGTTACCTGGGCTTAAGTGACCCTCCTACCTCATCCCCCTGGGTAGATGGGACTGCAGGTACATGCCACCATGCCTGGTTAATTTTTGTATTTTTTTTACAGATGGGGTTTCACGATGTTGCCCAGGCTGGTCTCCAACTCCTGGGCTCAAACCATCCTTCTGCCTTGGCCTCCAAAAGTGCTGGGATTATAGGCATGGGCCACCATGCCTAGCCCAGGGTCGTCGTCGCCTTCTTTTTTTTTTCTGAACTGGAGTTTTGCTCTTGTAGCCCAGGCTGGAGTGCAGTGGCACAATCTCAGCTCACTGCAACCTCCGCCTCCCAGGTTCAAGTGATTCTCCTGCCTCAGCCTCCCGAGTAGCTGGGATTACAGGTATGTGCCACCACGCCCGGCTAATTTTTTGTATTTTTAGTAGAGATAGGGTTTCACCATGTTGGTCAGTCTGGTCTTGAACTCCTGACCTCAGGTGATCCACCCACTTCGGCCTCCCAAAGTACTGGGATTACAGGTGTGAGCCACCGCGCCCGGCCAAGGGTCTTCTTTTTATGGGTGAATGTTTTGTGTGTGTGTGTGTGTGTGTGTGTGTATGCCACATTTTCTTTTTCCTTTCATCTGTTGATGGTGACTTAGATTGTTTCTGTATCTTGGTGATTGGTAGTAATGCCGCAGTGAATATTGGAGTGCAGATGTCTTTGTGAGGTGTGATTTGATCTCTGTTGAGTATGTGTCCAGAAAAGGGATAGCTGGGTCTATTTAATGTATACTGATAAGCAGCACACAGCGGGCACATCGGTTAGCATAGATGCCATTTCTCTCACAGTCTGCCGACCCCTCCTAGAGTGACGTTTTTCTTGTTCCTGAGACAATAATGTGGCTGTAAGTACTAATAGAGACAGTGGCATTTGTGGGATGCTTATGATCTGCCAGCCCCTGTGTTAAGTGTTCTCTGTGTCTGTTTCAGCTGGGTCCGCTGTGTGCCGAGGCTCCATGGGATGTGTCGTCTTCATAGCAGCAGGGCGCTGGACCATGGGTCCCTAAGGTGAGATTTTTAGACTGTTGTCTGGAATATGTTTTTTTGCATCCTACAGAGTCGTATGCTATTCCTGGGGCTTGGATGATGTAGGGGAAACAAGGTAAAAGTGGTATCCCGTGGTTCCCCGTTCTGTCCTGCTGTGAGGCTGTCTCTCACATGCCTTCAGTGGCTGTTGCAGAGGAAGGGCCTCCAGAAATCTGGATGGGTAAAGTGAGTTCCCTGGGGGAACCTTCCTCCCTGCTTGAGCGCTGGTGTGTCCGCAGTATGCTGTGATCTGGATTAGCAGTGAGTTTTTCATTCGGGGTGTGCGTGTATGATGTTAGGACCACATGCTCCTGACCTTTTCCAACCCAAAAGCATTTCCATTTTTTAAATGCTGAAAGTGTCTTGACTCCTTTTGGGGTCTTAGAAGTACACACAGTGGCCGTGGCTAGGCCTCTGCTCAGCTCAGCTGCTCTCCCTGTCTCAGGCCATTCCTCAGGCCCTTGACACCAGCCTCCCTCCCTTGCTGGCTCTCTTCTGTCCTTCCCTGTTCTTGTATCCAAAAATGGCCACGGGTTGCCTGCGCCCCGATCATTCATAGTGCAGGGGTAGGAGTGCTAAGAGACGTTTTCCCTGCGTTGGCCCAGCCTTCCCTTTCAAACCCTGGAGCTTTCCCATGCTGCAGCCTTTTCCCTGCCAGCCCTTCAGAGCTTGGGCCTTTGTAGGCCCGTGTGATATGATGACTAGACCCACCCGCTGACTTCTGAGGGTTCATTTTGTCTTTTCATGTTAGGGATCCTCCTGCCAGAAACCAGTCTGCATTTCTCTTTGGGCCCCACGCTGGCATGAATTCAGATAGCAGTGAAGGGCACACGTGAGAATTGTGAATCACGGGCTTTGCTTCATGAAATGTGAAATCCGTATTGTTTCTCCAGGCGCTATCAGTAATGTCGAATAAATGGAGAAAGTTGTAGGTGGGACTAGGAAAGCTGTATTCCTGTGGATCACTCTAGCTGGTCATTTGCCCCGATTGTGAACTGTTTGAAAGAAAAACAGAACTAAGATGTTTGTCCTTTTGTGTCCTTTCTGTTGGGATTTTTAATTTGGTGTGCCTGAATGAGGAGCTTTGCCCTGCTTGAATGGGACCCCTCTCCGTGGTGTCAGCTTGGGGAGGAGGAGATGGCCCTGGAGACTAAATACTTGTATGCTTTCTTACCCTCTTAGGTCTCAGCCTTAGATTCAAGGACAGTCCAAGGAAGTCCTAAGACCATGGAGTTGGTGACCTGGGATCTGGGTTTGCTGATATTTCTTACCATGGTGAGTTGATGCCAAGAGCTGGAACCCACAGCCAGAGGCCCGACTGATCTGTGCTTATGCAGATGGGAACTTTGAATCACTGGTCTCACTTGTTCTCTGTTGCAGGATCTCTTGGTGGTGTTTATGGACACCAGAGGGGCAGAGAATAGAGAGTGAGGCCACCACATGAAGCGTCACCAGAGCTGCTCCCTGCTGCCTGCTCAGAGCACCCCGGATCCACTGTTCAATCTGCACAAGATTCGGGGTCCAGACATGGGAGACTTCAGCTGCCTCGGAGGACCGTGGACAGGGAAGGCCAGCCCTGCATCCCTCTGGCCATGCCTGGAATGACTTTAATAACTAAGAGTTTTATTCTTGAATTTGTAGCTGTCGTTCACTTTTTACCCACCCATTCAATAAACCTTACAGAATTGCTCCATCTGCCTCTTAAATCAGTGACAACCCGTGAGCCTGCAAGACTGGCTTTGGAGAAGGTAGGCCATAGGCCAGATCTGATTTTCACTCTTTGAGCCTTTCCTATTCTTAATGCATATATTCTGGAGACTTGACTCAGAGGTTATTGTTCGAGGTATACATTTGGAACTAGGAGGTGAACAAGTGCTGGTAGTTGGTTCACATTTAGGCATTTAGGACCCATGAGAATTGAGGGCATTGCAGAATAGTCAGGGTAGATTATGGAGTGAGACAGGTCCGATGTCATTCAGGAAGGCTGGAGTGTCCTGGATGACCTGGCTCATAAGTAAATGCCTACTTATGAGATCAACTATCCCAGTTTGCCTGAGATTGAGGGGTTTCCCAGAAAGTGGGTTTTTCATTGCTAAACCCAGGGAGATCCTGAGCAAACTGGGGCAAGTTGGTCAGCATGTGTGGGATGTAAAATCCATGGTGTCAACTTGAGAGCCAGGTTATGGGGTAACAGTGGGAGTAGGGTGAACATGGAGCAGCTGCCGTTGATGGAACTGAGGGGTTCCCTTACAGTCAGGCTTTGGAGATAAGGGTACAGTCAGTTATTGCAAGGGCTAGGCATGGTGCCTTGTGCCTGTATTACTAGCACTTTGGCAGGCCAAGGTGGGATGATTTCTTGAGGCCAGGAGATCAAAACCAGCCTAGGCAACAGATCCCGTCTCCACAAAAATTAGCCAGCCACGGTAGTGCACTCCTGTAGTCCCAGCTACTCAGGAGGCTGAGGCAGGAGGAGTGCTTGAGCCCAGGAGTTTGAGGATTCAATGAGTTAATGATGGCACCACTGCAGCCCAGCCTGGGTGGCAGAGTGAGACCTGTTTTTAAGAGAAAGAAAAATTGCAGCCATGACATTATCTAAGGATGTGCGTGTGTGAACTCTCATCTCTTGATTTACAGAGGGAGGAATCTACACGTGTCCCAAGGGCCATGGTGAAAAGGTGCAGTTCATCTCCCCATTTGAAGTGAAAACCACCTTGGCTGGAGCTGGGGCAAAAATCAGGCTGGTAAGCCTGTCTTGATGAATTTCACACATTAATGGTCTGCCAGGCATTCTTTTTTTTTTTTTTCTTCTTGTTGTTTTTTGTTTTTGAGACAGTCTCACTGTTGCCCAGGCTGGAGTGTAGTGGTGTGATCTTGGCTTACTGCAACCTCTGCCTCCCAGGTTCAAGCGCTTCCTGTGCCTCAGCCTCCTAAGTAACTGGGACTATGCACATGTGCTGCAACGCCCAGCTAATTTGTGTATTTTTAGTAGAGACGGGGGTTTTGCCTTGTTGGTCAGCTGGTCTTGAACTCCTGACCTCAAGTAAACCGCCCGCCTTGGCCTTCCAAAGTGTTGAGATTGCAGATGTGAACCACCATGCCTGGCCTAAGGGGCAGGCATTCTTGATGTTTAAAGGCACCACACCACCAATCGGTTCCCTGCAGAAGGATCCAGAAATCACAGGTCCTTTTTCTGCGTTGGCCTTTGAGGACCATCCTCTGACTTCTGTTTGCCACCTTTAGCCAACTGGCTGTGGCTGCTTGAACAGATGCCAGGGGAAGGAATCTGGGTCCACTTGAGGAAGCTGTAACTGATGACTGATGTCTGCCACAGTGGAGGGGATAGCAGTAGAATACAGGCCAGTACCTAAGTCTGCATATTTCATCTGGCATTAGATCATCATGTGTGCCTCTTGCCACTGTTGCATGTGAGGCAGGAGCCATCCCAGGTCTTCAGGGCCTGAAGAACTCTGAGAAGGGCAGTCCATTGACCAAGGTGGCCCAAGAGCCAGGATTAGGTCAAGGAGGCGTGGCCCTTGCTGGGCTGTGTGCTGAGTATGAGGGCCTGGGAAGCAGCTGGTGGGAGACTCCACAGCAGAACTGAGAGGAGAATGGAAAGCTGGGAGAGTGAGGCTCATTCGCTCAAAAAGCATTGTGCATTTACTTGGGAGCCAGACGCTAAGCTAGAGGAAAGGATACTAGGTGAGTAAGGCAGTTTGTGCCCTCAAGGAGATCCCAGCCCAGATAAGTATATGTAGCTGTATTTTAGAGGCTTCGTTCCAGACCACTGCAATAAAGTGAATTGCACACATTTTCTGGTTTCCCACTGCATTAAAGTTATTTTAGCCAGGTGTGGTGGCACATGCACCTGTAGTCCCAGCTACTCTAGAGGCTAAGGCAGAGGATTGCTCAAGCCCAGGAGTTCAAAGCCAGCCTGGACAACATAGTGAAGACCCTTGTGTAAAAAAATTAAGTTTATACTATAGTGTAGTTTATTAACTGTGCAATAGCATTATGTCCAAAACTATAAATACCATAATTTAAAAATATGAAAGAATGCTAATGGTTATCTTTAATCTCAGCTGCTTGGGAAGCTGAGCTTTGCACCAACATGCCCAGCTAATTTTTTTTCTTTTTTTTGAGATGGAGTCTTGCTCTGTTACCCAGGCTGGAGTGCAGTGGTGAGATCTCGGCTCACTGCAACTTCCATCTCTCGGGTTCAAGCAATTATCTGCCTCAGCCTCCCAAGTAGCTGGAATTACAGGCACTCATCACCATGCCTGGCTATTGTATTTTTAGTAGAGATGGGGTTTCATTGTCTGGCCGGGCTGGTCTTGAACTCCTGACCTCGTGATACACCCACCTTGGCCTCCAAAAGTGCTGGGATTACAGGTGTGAGCCACCGTGCCCAGCTGCTTATTAATTTTTGTAAGAGACAGGGTCTTGCTATGTTGAGACCCTGTCTGGTCTCAAACTCCTAGGCTCAAGCTGTCCTTTCACCTTGACCTCCAAAGTACTGGGATTACAGGTATCAGCTACCACGCCTCGTCCCCTTTCTGGAATTTTAATGTCTCTAGTCCTTTGCCTCCAGAGCTCTCTGATGCCTTTAAAACGATGGTTTTCTATTTTATCCACCCTTTCCAGTTCTTAGCAGGAACATTGGCCTGTCAACTACTCCCTTCTATTTAGAGGCAGAAGTCTTGACATTAGCAAATTTTATTTAAATTTTTTTTTCTTTTTTTTCCTGTTTGGAGAATGGATTATACCAGGGCAAGAGTGGAAGCAGGGTGACCAGTTGGAAGATTATGGCAGTTGTGTAGGTGAGAGATATTGGTGACTTGGACTAGGGAGATAGAGGTAGACAGCAAGATAGATATCTATGTTCCCAGAGAGAAAGGTGAAGATACAATTTTAGGTGAATGAAGCTCAGAGCAGGGAAGTATGTAAAATGTGATATACCATTTTTTTTTGGTTAAAAGATTTATTTGAAACCAGCCTGGCCAACATGGTGAAACCTCATCTCTACTGGAAATACAAAAATTAGCCAGGTGTGGTGGCGGGCGCCTGTAATCTCAGCTATTCGGGAGGCTGAAGCAGGAGAATCGCTTGAACCTGGGAGGTAGAGGTTCCAGTGAGCTGAGATTGCACTATTGCACTCCATCCTGGGCAACAGGAGTGAAACTCCATCTCAAAAAAAAAAAAAGATTTGTATGTATATATGCAAATTGGGGTGATATATTTTTTATTTTAACATGCCTTTCTCTTTTTTCTTTCCCAGAACATCATAGTTTCTCTAATATACTGCAGGCATCCTTTTGGCTAGGGGGAGATTTGAATGCCAAGGAAGACCACAGTGTCAGTCAACCTTTACCATTCAAAAATAGGATTATGCAATAGGACAACAGCCTTGCAAGGCAGAGTTCTTCAATTTTTTTTTTTTTTAATTTAAATTATTGCTCCTTTATAACCAGTAAGCAAACTTGGAGAATCTATTCCCATAAAATTTTTCAGGGATGTGAAGTAGACACTTTTGTCTACCATGAAGGCTTAGCTGGAGTCAGAAAGAATAAAGATATAATTAGGGATCACAAAAGGTTTTTACCTGATGCTTTATTTTTTTTTAAGGGATTAAGGAAGAAGAAGGGGAACAGAGAAGCAGATGACAAGAGGCTCACATGGGTGTCCCAATTTCCCTTCTCTGGACTTTGACTTGGTGAGGGTGCAAGTATATTAGAGAGAACACTGAGAACAAGAGAGGAGACCTTGACTTTGCTTCCCATTTAGCAAGAGGCCACCTCTTGAATTGCCCCCGCCCTAAACTGTGGTATAGCCATGGCAACGGGACAGCTTGGTGTGGGTAGGCAGAGGGAGGTATCTTCGCCAGCTTGGGCTGCCATAACAAAATTCCATAGATTGGGTGATTTAAACAACAGAAGTTAATTTTCTCAACGTTCTGGGGGCCAGGAAGTCCAAAATCAAGGTGCTGGCTGATTCAGTTTCTGATGAGAGCTCTCTTCCTGGCTTGCAGATGGCCGCCTTGCTGTGTCCTCCTATGGTGGAGAGAGAGAGAATGGCCTCCCTGGTGTCTCTTCTTATAAGGGCACTAATTCTGTCAGATTATGGCTCCACCCTTATGACCTCATTTAACCTTAATTACCTCCTTAAAGGCCCTATCTATAGATACAATTACATTGAGGGTTAGGCTTTGTATTAGTCTGTTCTCAGGCTGCTAATAAAGACATACCCGAGACTGGGTAATTTATAAAGGAAGGAGGTTATTTGATTCACAGTTCCCACATGGCTGGGGAGGCCTCACAATCATGGCGAAAGGCGAATAAGGAGCAAAGTCACGTCTTACTAATGGTGGCAGGCAAGAGAGCTTGTTCAGGGGAACTCAACGTTTATAAAACCATCCGATCTCCTGAGACTACCACGAGAACAGTATGGAGGAAACCACCCCCTTGATTCAGTTGTCTCTACCTGGCCCTGCCTTTGACATGTGCGGATTATTATCATGCAGGGTGAGATTTGGGTGTTGACACAGCCGAACCGTATCAGGCTTCAATATGTGACTTTTGGGAGTACAAAGTTCAGTCCATAGCAATTCAGTCCTTTGGACTTTAGCATCCCGGAGCTGCCCTGGGATCCTGAATGGTCTATGTCAACCCAGAGGTGGCTGAGGATGTGGCTGAAGAGTTTCCTAGCAGGGACCACAGTACCAGAGTGAGGTACCAGATCTGCACCCTGCTTAAAAATCCAGCATGTGCCCTGGCGAATTGCTGGCACTTGGCAAATATTTATTGAAACAAGTCGTTGGGCTGTATCTTCTTTTTCCATGTGTTATAGGAGTATCCCTTGTTCTCCAACCTTCAGAAGTCACCCTTTCCTTGAACATCCTCCGAATATCAGCCCCAGATGTGTAGGAAGTCCGTTTGAGTCTTCAGTAAATGCTGATATGTTCTCTTTTTCTTTGAGATGTAGTCTCGCTGTTGACGCCCAGGCTAGAGTACTCTGGCGTGATCTTTGCCCACTACAACCTCCGCCGCCTGGGCTCAAGCGATTCTCCTGCCTCAGCCTCCTGAGTAGCTGGGACTACAGGCACGCACCCCCACACCCGGCTAATTTTTGTATTTTTAGTAGAGACGAGGTTTCACCGTGTTGGCCAGGCTGGTCTCGAACTCCTGACCTCAGATGATCCGCCCGCATTGGCCTCCCAAGGTGCTGGGATTACAGGCGAGAGCCGCTGCACCCGACCAATGCTGATGTGTTCTAACAAATCCACCCTGGTGGCTGTTTGTTGTATTTTTCTCTGAATAGCTCCATTGCTCCAGGCCTCTCTGTGGTAACCTATGGCTTTCGCCTTTTCTCCCACTGCTGTTCTTATCCTATGCCATTTTGCCCCAAACATTCTTATGATCAATTAAAGCTGGCCCCAGGACAGCACAGGCTCCACACTCTGGCCCGGATTTGTTTCTGCCTCAGAAATACGTGCTGTCATGGTCGTCAAGATGTCTCCTAGCTCATCCAGGCAGGTCTGCTTTCAGAGGTTCCACTGGGAGAACTTAACAGTGTTCTGGAGTTTGATCATCTCCCACCCTGGTCATCTCTCAAAAGATGTTGCAACCCACCTGAGCGCTTAGATCAAACCCCAGTGGCTTCTGAGAAGGTGTTGCTGGTTTGTGAAGGAGAAGGGATGGGAGAGGATGGTGAGAAAGAGAAGATGCTAGGAAGTGAAATAAGAAGAAAAGAGGAAAAGATATTACCATTTAATTCAACTCAGGGCCGGGTGCAGCGGCTCATGCCTGTAATCCTAGCACTTTGGGAGGCCGTGGTGGGTGGTTTGCCTGAGAAGACCAGCCTGGCCAACATGGTGAAACCCTGTCTACTAAAAGTACAAAAAAATTAGCTGGTGTGATGGTGTGTGTCTGTAATCTCAGCTACTCGGGAGGCTGAGGCCCAAGAATCACTTGAACCCAGGAGGCAGAGGTTGCAGTGAACCACAATCACACCACTTCACTCCAGCCTGGGTGACAGAGTGAGATTCTGTCTCAAAAAAAAAAAAAAAATTCAGTTCAACTCAAACTTGAGTATGCATCCAAATCACCTACAATGCTTGTTAAAGCACAGATTGTTGGGCTCCTCCCCTGAGTTTCTGATTCAGTAGATTTGGGATGGGGACTAAGCATTCTGACTTTTTTTTTTTTTTTTTTTTGAGACAGAGTCTCGCTCTGTCACCCAGGCTAGAGTGCAGTGGCGTGGTCTCGGCTCACTGCAACCTCTGCCTCCTGGGTTCAAGCAATTCCTTTTTTTTTTTTTTTTTTTTTTTGAGATGGAGTCTTGCTGTCGCCCAGGCTGGAGTGCAGTGGCCAGATCTCAGCTCACTGCAAGCTCCCCCTCTTGGGTTCACGCCATTCTGCCTCAGCCTCCGGAGTAGCTGGGACTACAGGCGCCCACCACCTCGCCCGGCTAGTTTTTTGTATTTTTTTAGTAGAGACGGGGTTTCACCATGTTAGCTAGGATGGTCTTGATCTTGTGACCTCGTGATCCGCCCGTCTCGGCCTCCCAAAGTGCTGGGATTACAGGCTTAAGCCACCGCGCCTGGCCGGGTTCAAGCAATTCTTCTGCCTCAGCCTCTGGAGTATCTGGGACTACAGGCGTGTGCCACCACGCCCTGCTAATTTTTGTACTTTTAGTACATACAGGGTTTCGCCATGTTGGCCAGGCTGGTCTTGAACTCCTGACCTTGGCCTGCCTCGGCCTCCCAAAATGCTGGGATTACGGGTGTGAGCCACCGCACCCGGGCTCATTCTCCTTTCAAACAAATTTCCAGGGGATGCCGATGCTGCTGTTCAGAGGACTGCACTTTGAGAACCACTGACCTCACCCCCAAACCAGCTTGGAGATGATGCACCCTATCCCAGTATAATATTTTAGTCTTCATAATGGGTAGGCAGACCTGCTTTTTCCAAAATATCCTTGCAGCCAGCAGCCAGGTCCATCTGTTTGTTCATACAGTGGCAAGATGTCCAACAACTCCCTAAGGAACTTAATGAGCAACTTGGATCCAATTCTTCATTGTCCGTCAGAGGAAAGGAATCCATGCTTGATAATGAGCCTTTGGATGCTCTACCAGGCTCTGTGGCCAGAACAAAGTGCCTTGTTATCTCCCTGACAAGGAACCTACTTTATGGTGTTGGACAAAGCACCTAGCATGTCACATTCTCCCAAATAGCACAAACTCATACCCAGTGAAACTGGGAGAGCAGTGGGTGGTCTTTCTACTCTCAGAAACCTGTTTATTTCCATCTTGGTGGTATGGAGAGGGTGTTGTGTGTTCCACATTGTGCAAAGGCCTGGGACATGATGGCCACTGCTCCCACTCACCCATCTCATCAGCATGTTGTAGATACCTGCAGAGTCGTACACTGAACTGAGCATGCTGGGGAGTGGAGGGCATCAATGATGCAATGCATCCAGAACCTGCTTCAAAGCCAGGCCTCTGACACAGCTGCAGACTAGATGCATAGTGAAGGCTCAGGAAATGTCGGCCATGATTCTTTTGTTTTGTTTTGAGACGGAGTCTCACTCTGTCACCCAGGCTGGAGTGCAGTGGTGTGATCTCAGCTCACTGCAACTTCTGCCTCCCGGGTTCAAGTGATTCTCATGCCTCAACCTCCCCAGTAGCTGGGATTACAGGTACATGCCACCTTGCCCAGCTGATTTTTGTATTTCTTTTTTAGTAGAGATGGGGTGTCACCATGTTGGCCAGGCTGGTCTTGAACTTCTGGCCTCAAGTGATCTGCCTGCCTCGGCCTCGCAAAGTGCTGGTATTACAGGAGTGAGACATGGTGCTCTGCCAATTCTTAAGGGTATGATTAAGAAAAGTGTCCCAATCACAGCCTGGGATAGAACACTTTCGTGATACAATTCACAACCTCCTTCTGGGAGGACATGAGCATTCCTGATAAATGCTTAAGCAATTTTCTGATAAACTTTAACAAGATTAAAACCTCTTTGGGGAAATTAGCTACCCAAACACTTGGATGATTATCACACATTCTTTGTCTTGTATTCAGTTTAATAATGATTATCCAACCATTCTCTTTTCCTTTGAAATATCCATAACAAAAGGGAACTACTGACTTGGCTTTGTGACAAGCTTAAAACAAAACTTCAACACATGCTTATAACTAATTTTTGTGAAAAAATGTAAAACAGTCATGGAGATTGGACATAAAAATAGTAGCTAAGACTTATTAAGTACTTGTTGCTTGTCAGATGTTATTAAATGCCCAATAACTCTTTATAATGAATTGGGTTATAATACCTCTGTTTGACTTAAAAGATGCTGATACGGTTTGAATATTTGTCCCCTCCATATCTCATGGTGAAATGTGATCCCTAATGTTGGACATGGACCCTGTTGGGAGGTGTCTGAGTCATTGGTGGTGGATCCCTCTTAAGTGGCTTGGTGCCCTCCCCATGGTAATAAGTGAGTCCTTGCTGTTAGTTCACGAGAGAGCCAGTTGTTTAAAGGAGCCTGTACCTCCTCCTCTCTCTCTTCACTCCCTCTCTTGCTATGTGATGCACCTGCTCTTCCTTTGCCTTCTGCCACGATTGGAAGCTTCTGAGGCCTCACCAGAAGCTGAGCAGATGCTGGTGCCATGCTTGTACAGCCTGAAGAACTGGGAGCCAAATAAACCTCTTTTTTTTTTTTTGAGACGGAGTCTCACTCTGTCACCCAGGCTGGAGCGTAGTGGCGCGATCTCAGCTCATTGCAAGCTCCGCCTCCCGGGTTCATGCCATTCTCCTGCCTCAGCCTGCCAAGTAGCTGGGACTACAGATGCCCACCACCACGTCCAGCTAATTTTGTGTATTTTTAGTAGAGATGGGGTTTCACCGTGTTAGCCAGGACGGTCTCGATCTCCTGACCTTGTGATCTGACTGCCTCGGCCTCCTAAAGTGCTGGAATTACAGGCGTGAGCCACTGTGCCCGGCAATAAACCTCTTTTCTTTACAGATTGCCCAGT